ATAATAATAGTAATAATTATATATATATATATATTCATTCATGTTGAATTTGTTTCACAGTGCAGTCAGGTATGTTCATGGCTGTCCTTGACAAAAAGCAATTACATTTGCTGTTTTTTTTTCTTTCTCTCATATCTTTAAGAGAAAGGGGAAATACTGCAAAGCACATATCAAATGTGATTTCAATCTTTTTTGCAGTTCCAGAAAAGGGCAAGGATCAGTTTAATATTTCAGTTTTTAAAATGTCATATCTAAAATTTTCTAAGAAATAAGAAAGAAATGATCATACAGAGCGTAAACATATTATTTCCCTATGCACAGTAGTAAGTGCCCAGGTGAATTTTCTTTTGTCACATAAATGACATCTTCACACATCCCCAACCCTCCCTCGGCACCACTGGTGATCCTAAAGGTTCCAATTCTGATAGCAGCTTCCAGACACAATCAGCCCTGTTGCTAGGCAATGGCATCAGTGCTGCCTGGCAACACATTTGTCTATTCCAGTCATGAGTCAGTTCAAAACAAATCAAACTGCTTAATTGGTTGAGGGTTTTTCAGTTTAAAAATGTGGATTAATTGGATGAGATCACCTCAAAACAAATGCTGTAAATTACAGTTTTTTTCAGTCGCTAACAAGCATTTGTCCAAACAGTTGTCACATTTTCAAAACTCTAAACACAATTAGCACAAGATCGATCTTTTGTGGCCATACCATTCACACATTTCATGTTGTTTTCACACAATATGCAGTCAGTGAACACATTTCCACAATGCTTACATTTTCTTAACAGACAAGCTATACAGGTACCTCCCAACAAAATTATGGATTGTTTTTGTAGTATTTACAAATGTTAACCCACACCATCCCAAAATAGCAAAAACAATATTTCAAACCTTAGATACAGTATAAAAACCTCTGCTTCTGCAATGATATCAGTTCAAAAACAATATATCTCAGCTGATAATAAACAAACAATGCAGATGCAGAGATGCAGTGAGAAATGCAGTAAGAGATGCAGTGAGAGATGCAGTGAGAGGTGCAGTGAGAGATGCAGTGAGAGATGCAGTGAGATATGCAGTGAGAGATGCAGTGAGAGGTGCAGTGAAAGATGCAGTGAGCGATGCAGTGATAGGTGCACTGAGAGATGCACTGAGAGATGCACTGAGAGATGCAGTGAGAGATACAGTGAGAGATGCAGTGAGAGATGCAGGTGCAGTGAGAGGTGAAAAAAAACCTTGAAAAAATATTTGTTTTTTACTGGAATGCTTTTGAATGTGAACATTACTGTACATGTGGACAGTTCCCAATCAACAAATGTAGTGTAAAAAAGGTGGATTGCATATTTTTCAAGCAAATACCTGTAAAATTGAAACATCAAAGTCTATGCAGTTTTTGTAATGTCAACAATAGCCAGTATTTTGAAACCTGGTGTACTTTAATTGACTGCATGTACCTTGTGAAGTGAAAACAAGTGTTATTCTTTGACAGAATAATTTCATTTTGAGTAATATTTCCAGTGTTTTGGTAAAGTTAGTGAGTGCAGAGAAAGATGTGTTCTATTTTGAAATGAAGAGTTAGTGTATATTTAACAAAATGTGTTTTTGAGAAGAAAATGATCCATTTGGCCAATTGTGTTTTGTAGGTGTGAGTCTGTGTTAAGAGTTTAGAAAAAGTATCTGATGTATAGGTAAGCGCTTGTTAGTGATTGAAAAAAACTGTAAACCCTTGCATTGTTAAAGTGACTTTATACCGGCTAATAGTTTTGAAAGGAAGAAGGTCTGATATCAATAAGTCAGACAAATGTTTTCAGCAACTATTAACCTTATTGTTATAGACTTCTGACTATTTGGCGTGAATCTCAGGATACATTAATGAAGGATGCACAAAGTTTAAGCCATTTCACAGTGAAGTAGCATGACCTTGATGACAACATTCACCATCTAAGGAAACTCACTTCACACTGCATACAAGGTTAATCATTGTATTCTATTAAAAGAACAGAGAAAGTTGGCAGGTAAAAATGCACAAGAACTCTGTGATATAACCCTAACCCTGGACAACAGGATTGAGTAAATCATTACCCATTTATTATGGTATGCTGTTTTATCGAGTATATGCCAAGCACAGACAATTCAGAGAATTATGACCTTTACCCTACCTACAGCTGCAGTATGCACTGTCACTACGCGTACTATATAATATAACAAACCAAGGTCACATATGACTTAATTAGCTAATTTTCCACAGTATACACTACAGTTCAAAAGTTTAGGCTTATTGTTCAAAAGTTTAGGCTTATTATTTTTTTTTTTAAAGAAATTAATCTTTTTTATTCAGCAAAGATATACTACATTTATCAAAAGTGACAGTAAATACACTAATAATATATAAAAAATATATCTTACATAGCTCAAGAATCTTAAAGAAAATATATCTCAAGAATCTTGAAGAAAATGAAAAATTTGTTTCTAAAAATAATATTTTTCTATAATAATAAGACATGCCTCTTGCATATTAGAATGATTTCTGAAGGATCATGTGACACTGAAGTCTGGAGTAATGGCTGGAGAAAATTAAGCTTTGCGATCACAGGAATAAATTACATTTTAAAATATATATATATATATATATATATATATTAAAAAAGTAAAAAGTTATTTTAAATTGTAAAAACATTTCATACAACATTGTGAATGTTTTTAATGTGTAGCAGTGCCGCTGCTAAAATTATTCGGGGTTTATACTGGCGGGCCCAATATAACATTCCAGGTTGTTCCTGTTGAGGATGAGATGCTAGCTACAGTAGCAGGCTATATTCATGCAGAGAAAAAAAGTGAAATATATAAAAAGTAAAAATATATAAATAAAGGTAGTAAATATGATAACAGTTTTTTTAAAAGTTTATATTTGATATTAAAAAAAAAATCTAAATTAAATCTGGTCCTACTTTTCATAAGAGTCAACTGAAAGAGTCCTAACCGAGTTCAAGCCATCACACCCCATCAAAATATGCTTCAGTGATAAAGGACTCTGGCAAAAAGAAGGTTCTTCACCCATTAACAAAAACGTATGGGTTAGTCTGTCTGGAATTGTTTATTCGACAGTGACTATAGATAACAGGGTCCCGCCAATTTTCTAAACGGACACAGCGTTTTCCACCAACCACAGGACCGATTTTGTAAAGTTTGTTTCAATTACACTGCTCCCATGCGGCTTGCCATTTTTTGAGGATTAAAGTTTTTTAGGTCTAAAGGTGGAGACGAGAAATGGAACGCATACAATCACACAATCCAATCTTATACAGTAACATTGCACAGTAACTATGACATTGCACAGGGTGAGACTATAGTTTTAAGTTAAAATCAGTGCGAAACCACAGTTTAGGGATGAGAACAACATGCTATTGTAGTCTATAATCCAAATGTAATGTTTCAACACAAGGTGAACCAAGCCACATGACTATGCTGAAAAAATTAACAGAGCACTTGCCGTATAATCTATCTAATTACAGTCATGTAGCAGGGGACTTTCATTACTGGCTATTTTTATTTACTCCTTTTGCAAACCTAGTGGGCTCCAGTTCTCCAATCAAAAGGTAATCAAGGCTGCAATCCTCTTTAAATCAGTGGTTGCCCGCACTTTTGATGGAGTTCTTGAGAACAAACACACTGCAGGAGGTTGGTATAGCTGGAATATGAGTGTGGGTGTGCAATTGGTTGGACAATTGGGTGACTAACAAAGAGTTGACACAATGCTAGGTGAAATGAAGTTAATAAAAATTGACCATAAGACTCCACTGTAGTGCTTTAGAAACATTTCTGACCATTTTCAACGTTATTTTGATGGGACTGCGAGAATCATTTCAATAATGAGCCGTTATTATAAGTGAAGGATTGAAACCCCTAAAATTGACAAATAAAATGCATCAAAACTGTTTGAAGCATATATCTTTTTGTGTTCATGACTGATTGGGTCTATTAGGGGTCTGTTGTGTGTGTGATTATGTAACATTCCCTCCAGGTTACTCAGCCCACAGCAATGTACAAAATCAACTTGGGGCCTGCTTAGCCCATGGCCACTATGTGAAATATCTACCTCAGCCCTATCGAGAGGATTTGGGATTTCACAGGTCAGTGCCCTGGCGGCATGCTCCATGAACAGGGATCAGGAGATGGATTTGAACAAATCCGGAGCGAAGGCTTGGTTAAGAGTACGAACTGGCTTTGGGGGTTTTATACTCATCAACGTATAACAAGCAAAACAACAGTAGGCCAGGAGGGCATGAAGACAGTTTTATAAGCAGAAGACAATCACGAAAGGACTAAAGGACTCTGAAGTAACACCCTCACTTCCACCAAATCCACCACTTTGGTTTCACTTGAAACTAATCTTTTTTTTTTTTTTTGGAGAAGAAATGAAAAATGAAATTGTTGTTTTTAAAATCCAGCATTGGTCTGGGTGGAGGCCTGTTTCACGTCGCACACATAACTGCAAAAGCATCAAATAAAACCATAAATGATAGAATGGTTATCAGAATCTATTGATAAATTGCTTAGAAGTTCTTATAATTTTATGTTTGTGATCTATTTTGTGTGAGGTCTTTTCAAAATTACAACTTACAATAGTAATGAATCTACTTCAAACAGAATGCAAACTTCAGAAGGCAAAATATAAACAGTCTGGATTCAGTCAGATTTACTGAACAGGAAGTGTTGTTTGAATGTCTGTCACTGTGTACCTTTGGATCAAACCTGACAGATGTCTTTTTTCCAACAAGTGTGATGGGGTATGACATATCAGCATATTCTAATGATAATGTGCAATTATAAACAGAGATGGGTTAATGATAGACTACAAACAGCACATTGCAAATAGCAAATATTTAACTACGCTATATCTCATCTATAATAGGTAATTTCAAAGAAGACTGATTAGACATGATATTGGCAGTGTCTGTGTGTGGGTTTACCCTCTGAGATGGCATGCGGTTTGATGATACAGCAGGTGCAGTCTGAGTACTTGGCTGTGTTGGAGGGACCGTGACCAGCAGTGGAGGGGAAGAAGAACTCCAGCTCCTAACAGACAAAAATAGGTATAATTAAAAACACAACCAATCATTTCCTTTTTTCTTATAAGTATATTACTGGAATCATTTGTTTAAGAAAAGACTCTTTTTGACAGTTGCTTATTTGTTACCCGTGCAGCAGATGCCAATGAGTCTGAACCATGTCCTGCATTTTTAGTGCCATCGGTACCAAACTGGGCTCTGAGACTATTCACTGCGTCTTTCTGTGCCACACCAGAATCAGTCGGGCCCAGAACTTTTCTCCAGGTCGACACTGCCTCATCCCCCATCAGCTCCATAGCAATCACGGGACCGGAGCTTACAAACTGCACCAGATTACTGTTGTTGAAGAAGAAGCAACTTTATGCTTGGTGTTTTTGAACGTACTGTATTTGTGGTTAAAAACACGCAAAGTCATGTCAAAGTCACTGTGACAATCTCAATGTTGGTGGTTCAGGTGTCAGAGTCTCCTTCAAAACCAGCCCTTGCATATAAGTCAATCATTGACTCAGGAAAGACTCACTTGAAAAAAGACTTTGACTGATGTTCCATGTAAAAGTCCGCTGCCTGCTTCCTGTAAGAAAGCCATAAAAGTACACAGAGTTAATAAGTGATCTCCAAACCCTACCATCTCTCGGCTGACTCCTATAGTGAAATAGAGTTTTATGTATGAAACTAAGGAGCAAAAAGTGCCATTAAGTTTTTATAAAGTGTGCATTTCATCTTAATACCACTTTTTTTGTAATAATGTCATATATTAATCTGATGGCACGTGTGAGAAATATGGCTGCACATCTTCATACTCTGACAAGGACTGTCTCTGTCAATGAACAGCTGTTTGCTACTTTGAGGAAAGGTTAAAGCAGCAAAACCTGACCAGGCTAAAACAACACGGTCTATCAGAGAAACTCTCAGAGTCAGCATATTTCGAGAGGAAAAGGAAAGATTAAACATCAGCATTTTCCATTCTCCAAAAAATGTAGTACTAAACCACATGTCTAGTGACATATAGACAAAAACATATACTTTGAGTTCACTGTAGTTTTGGATCATATTTTATGCCAAATACATAAACATAAATATAAAACGGTCAAATGTTTTAGTGCTGATGGGGTGTCTCTGTACAATGCTAGTTTTCAGTTTGGTCATCTGAAAATGTTATTCCCTCTCATACAATCTAAAAGCAAATTTAAAAAAGCAAATAAGCTCTTATGATTATCTGACTTCTCTTTAATACTGTTGTAGTTTGGGCCAGTGTTGGATAAATCTAATAAATAAAACTAAACTATAACTAAAATTAATAAACTAATAAAAACGAAATACTAATAAACTTAAACTTTTAATTAGCAATTGTAATGAAACTGAAATAAAATATAAATATTAGATGAAAAACATAAACTTAAAAAAATTTTAAGCACGAAAAAAGCACTAAAATGACTAAAAATGAAATAAAAATATATTTAAATATTTAAAAACAACTAAAAATAACGAAGGCACATAACAAAATTACTAAAACAAACTAAAATTAAAGCTAAAACTGAAAAAAAAATTACTATATCATTGCATTTACATTCTTTGTTATAATGTTTATAAAGCGAATGCATAAAACAATTATTACTTATGTACAGGGTTTATAACATAATATTCCTAATAAATTTTAATGTTGGAGGTACAATAATGCATTCAGTTGATTTTAACCTTGGTTGAAGTTAACTTATCATATTTTGAAGGTCTCTGCTTTGCTAGACTCATTCTGGTTTGTGTCCTTTATTACCTGTCTTTGTGGTTATGAACACGCAAGCTCCCAAATCACTTTAAAGCCATTTTACTGTGAAATAACCAGAAATGTCTTCAGATTTACTCGCAACGGCTAATCTGAAGGGCGATTCCAGTAGAGCAATCTGGGCTGATTTGCTCAAGGGCACAATTTTACTTGAAGACAATTGTGATTCAGTAACTCCCCGGTTCTTGGGTCATTTCTCCCTGTGACTGAACACACAGTCTTTGTGCTGGGAGCCCAGACCTGTAACTTTTATTTTAACAGTGCCCAAATTACCACCACTTATAAAATCATAAACTGATCTTAACAAAACAGGCCAAAGAAATCATGTCTGCAGCTTTAAACACTGCTTCTTTTCTCTTACGCTCTCCCTTCTCACAACCTCAGTTAATAATTACTGCATTGTGCTGTGAATATAATCCACTCCTGGTACTATGCAAAGGCAGCCACTAATGAAATACCCCGCTCTTTGCAAGTCTTCTATAGTAAATTGCTTCAGAATATAGAACACAGAGTGTGCAAACATTTTATCTTTCATTCTTGACCTGATCTGTCTGTGCTAAAATCTGTCAGGTGCTCAGAGAAGAACAAGTGTACGTCTTTGCCAGGTTAATGTATAGAGCAAGCAGTGCATGATTTTTTTTTTTTTTTGCTGAGATATACTTTTTAACTGGACATGTGACTTTGGCAAATCCACCCATCACTATTTCTCAGAATTCACTCTTGGGTTACTTTAAAACTGAAAAACCTCATTAGAATAATTGGTCTTAAACTGCTTTGAGCACGAATCCTTTTTTGCACCTATTTGTAGGGTGAAATATTGCTGAAGGACTGCTGCCAGTATCATCATTCTTAAAGTCTACATAAATTAACCATAAATGACTTACCATGTAAGCTTGGTCATTTTGGATTTTGTGACGATAAGGTTAGCATCATAAATCATCTGAATAATGTCGCCAATTTTAGTGACAGCGTCTGGCTTAATCATAGCCAAAGTCCTGAAAAAGACACAAAACAGATACATGACCATAGTAATAAAAATATAGTACCCAAGTAGAAAGCAAATCAGAAAGTAAGATATGTGTCATAATTGAACCAAAGTAGAAAAAGCCTGGGGATTTTACATAATTGGAATCCTAGATTTTATATTTTGTAGCACAAACTATGTTTTGAGATTTATTGAGAAGAAAGTTTTTGAGAAATATATAAAATGCAAGGCAAAGATGCTATTGTTTTTGCCCAGTACAATAATTAAACACATCAAATTAATCATAACATCTACGTAAAATTTGATTCAGGGTTTACATCATTTATTTAAAAAGGAAATCTTGAATCTTTCAAATTTACCCTAAGCATTAGATTAAGTTGTCGCCACAGTACTAGATATGATGGTCTGGCTAAACAACAGCAGTCAATTGACTCGGTTCAAGTTTACTTTGAAGATTGCATAATATATTGCCTTGATTCTGTCCCTCTGTGATATTTCCCAAATTTATATTCATGGCACACCACCATGAATCTCACAGGAGAGAAAGAGCAGTGGGGAACAGTGTGAGTTATATAACAGGAAGAGCTGATTCATTAGAGTAGTAATCATTGTTCAGTGATTTTTAACAGGAGGAGACACAGCAGCTCATCTACGCCTTTTAAAAATTACATTAGCAGGTGTTTGAGGAGGAGCCGCCAATATATAAATAACTTTTTCTTGTGACATACAATAAGCTAATCATCACTCTAAATGAAGAAGATGATTAAAATGTCTTGTGACTATCTGTTATGAAGGAATAGGCCAAAAATGTATTCCCATCCATGCCGCTCCAAGTCGATATGACTTTCATTATTCATGAATCAGACTGATTCGGTCCAGTTCAACTCAAGAGTGAGTAATTCAATGATTAATGAATGCAGTGGTTAACAGCATAGTAGAGGGGACAAAAATATAGTCTGACTTCAGAAGATGGAATTTTCTGATTACTTTCCTTTTAACATTATTTTAATTTTAATATAATTTAATTTATTTGGTGTGAACCATAAGGGATTAGATCACCCAAAATCTGAAAAATCTGCCATCATTTACTCAACCTCATCATGACAATCCAAACCTTTATGATTTTCTGTGGAACATAAGAAAATATTTTGAGAAACGTCTCCCTGTTTTTTATTGTCCAAATAATAGAAGCCAATGGTAACCAAGTTGCCAACTTCCTTCAAAATATCTTCTTTTATGCTCCACAGAAGAAACTTGCCAACTTTGGATCGATATACAAATCTGTTAAATAATATCCTTATATAATATTGGGAGCACAAGTTGTAATCACTGCTTAACACGTTCATTGTGTCTGTTTAACTACAGACCAATTTTCAGAAAAGTTATCTTTAACCTTTATTTAACTGACAAATTTTGATTTTGATGGGTGCAACACATTCCAAAAAAGTTGGGATAGAGACATGTTGTTTACCCCTGAGTCACATCACCTTTCCTTTTAACTAGACTTTTTAATGATTTGGAAATTTAGAATACTAATTGTTGAAGTTTTGCAAGTAGAATTTTTACAAGTCAGCTGCTCAACAGTCTGTGGTGTTCGTTATCTGCTTCTCCTTTTCAACAAGAGACAGCTCTGGAGATCTGTCAAGCACATCCACTCAATGGTGTAGAGTGTCTAGAAACCACTCTGTTTTCGAACATGCAGAATGAGGCCTGGCATGGTCTTGCTTCCCAGGAAAGATGTCATCTTGATGGCAATATATGTCTCTGTACAATCCCAATATAAGCCTCCACATCAATAGTATCTTCACACACATGCAAGTCATCCATGCTGTTTGTACTGATGCATCCCAATACCATGACAGATGTTTGCACTTGCACCTCCTTGGAAAGGTCCTTTTCAGTCCCAAAGATGAAAACTCAACGCCATTTTCCCCCAAAACAAGCTAAAGCGTGGACTCATCCGACCAAAATACACATTTCATTGTATTTTACAAAATATCCCAACTTTTCTGGAACTGGTGTTGTAATGACATTAACTTATCACACAACATGTATTATCTTACAGCTGTATATTACTCCCCCATGGACTTACTTTGACACGCTCAATTCTAGCTGATAACAGAATACATCCTAATTGTAACAATGAAAAATATAATATTCTGTAAAGCTGCTTTGAAACAATATGTATTGAGTCAAACAGTTTTGGAAAGACCTGAGGGTGAGTAAATAGTTTTCATATTTTTTTGCAAACTATAAAAAAGGCCCGTTTTCACCAAGGATGATAACTATGAGGATAAAAATAAACATACAGTTCTAAAAATCTTTATCAAAGTGAACAAATAACAAAGTTCACACCACAGCTATAACAATCACGGCAGAGAGAAACGATTTCGTTGGGATCACTTTCAGAATGATCCAGCAGATGAATGATAAAAACATTGACAGCCAATCAGAATCCATCCTGCTGTAACAAGCTTAAGCATTTAAAGTGACAGACAAGTAAGTGCAATGAATAAACAGAACCATATCCGTGGGTGTGGACGCGAATATCGTTATAATTATTGTGCTTGGTGTGAACGGGCCTTAAGGCTGCATTTATGTGCCTTAGCAGGTGTTCAGGAATAAAGTACCTCTCCTTCTTACTGCCCAGTTTGTTGGCTGTGTACTGATCCCCATAACCTATGAGGTTCAGCTGACGTGAAAAGACGTTTACTCGGTTGCCAACAAACAGATCCTCCGGATGAAGCTCATCAAACTTGGTCCTCCGTAGGAAGGTACGCTGATTCTTCATATCAAACTTTATAAGAGAAACATACATGTGAAGGGACAAATCTCAAGCATAGCTGAAGGTCAGGCACTGATATCCGAGTATAGGAACGCACCATCTCCACGGAGCCATCTTTAGGGTAGTAGAGCAGCTGGTATCTTCGCAGCAGAGCAGCGCTGGGGTCCAACCACTCAGCCAGAAAGGCAAAGCGTTCCTCCTGTGCATAACACAACAGACACAACAAAACACACAGTCAAGCCAGGCCCGGCAGGGGAATGTCACTGATCTGACCCTCTTGCTTGGACAGGGAGTCATAACAGCAGCCATGCTCTGACCCTCAATAGAGACGGGCAGCTGGGCCTGTTAACATGAGTCAGAGGTTCAGAACTAGTCCTACGATCCCCTGGGGAGTATTGCTGCAAATGGGGAGCCATAATCCAGCTGCTGGAACTACTGCTCCTAAAAACATGCATTCCATATTTGTGCAAACATTAGGGCTGCACAAACATAGAAACATATCCATATGATCGCTAATATATTATAAATCCACATGTCGTCATTGGAGGACACAACCCAAAAATGTTGTCGTGGGCCCTGTGATGCGAAGGGGTATTTATGCTATATAGCTTTTACTCATGGAGCCTGAGGGAGATGGAATAAAAATTGTGTTCCAAGAATATTTAGAACGGTCCATTATATCGCAATTCTACCAAAATTAATTCAAAACTAACAAAACAAAACAACCCAACTCAAAGCGATAAAGTGACAATCAATAAAAGCTCTCTTCCATATTAATAGAATTAATTCATTGGGTTTTTGTTTTATCCAGCCGTGTTTGCAAAACAAAACATAAAAATAATAATATAAAATAATAATAAACAAAACAAAAATCCTAAACCCTTTATACAATGGCTTAACCCAACACAAAGCAATAAGCAATAAACACTCTCTTCCATATTAATGGAATAATTCATGGAGATGTTGTTGTATCCAGCCATGTCAGACAAAAAACAAAAAACAAAAAAAAAAAACGAAAATAAACAACCGGTAAACAAAAAAGTGCACTTATCATTGTTGGAATTCTTTGTGTAAACACACTACTCACTACAAACTACTACAGCAAAATGGCACAGAATAGTGCATACGTTTGCAAATTAGGGTTGCACCTATACATATGTGAATTTAGACACCAACTCTCTCTCTCTCTCTCTCTCTCACACACACACACACACACACACACACACACGGTATGATGGGTAGGTAACTGCTTGTAAATTCTGAGACTGGTAGACACAAAAATAATGCTTTTAAAATAAACTAAAGTAACATAAAACATGTATTTACTAACAACGCATGCAACCATTAATAAATTAATAAATGTTTTCCAAAGCAGGACCCTTTAAGACTTTGCCACTCTCATAAAAAAATATAGTTTCATGAGCATTAAATATAGCACTTGAAAACAAATTATAGCTGTTATTAAAATAGATTAGACTATCAAAATCACAGTGTTACTGTTGTTCCACTTTTAAGTAGTAGTAGTTTAGATTTCACCTTGATTCCAACTCAGAGGTGCCCTTGAACAAAACATGGAGAGCTAGCATGTTGGTGTGATCTCTTTCCCATGCAGAGCGTCACCTTGTGGGGTAACTTCATAAAACAACAGGCACACGTGATTGAGGGGCATGCAACCGACCGCACAAGCTGCATAGTGAGGAGAAAATATCTGCTAATTTACTGTTGATCAGTGGACATCAAAAGTCATGCACTGAGAGTCGGCTTACATGTCAACACTGAGAGCTAACCTGGCATCACATTATCTAATTTGACAACAAATCATAAGTGCATATGCAACATGATCTTATTCATCATTCCTTACACTCAATGAGAACCCCTTTAACATAGCCTAATTGTGCGATCCATCTTAAACCTAACAGGGCCTCTTCCCCAAACAAGAGCTATTTTTACCTCTCAGTCAGCTGTGACAGAGATGATACAGACAATGAACAGCCTTCTTTCTACAAAAAATACACTGAGGCACAGGTCTGAAAAGCCATAAAACATCTCCAGACTCTATTTTGAGTCATATTATTGTAATCTAGAGTGATGTTTTGGGCTGAAGCTAAAAGTTCTCATGTTGTCTGCACTGACACCAGTAGTTATGGCCTTGTAACAATCAACAAGATGTAAATATAAACGTGAAGACAGCTATATATATATATGGCAGCAATAAACATTAAAAAATGTATGCAAAATAGTTTTTGATTTGTAATCAAGTTTAAAAATCAAGTTTAATTTATTTGAGAAGAAAAATTACTTATGAAAATTACTGTCAATGGAGTAAGTCTAATAATTTATTTTTTCCTTTGAAATAACCTGTGCAATATTTCTTTGAAAAGTCTCCTGTATCATATACACACATTTCTAATTAAGGCCTCTAAATTATCATAATGATCAAAACTTTGCTGAAAAATGTGTCTACTACATGCCTTCTGCACTTTTTTTTTTTTTACTAAAAGGCATATTAATAATTCTAAAAACGTCCCCCTTCAGGTCATGATACATTTGTCTTTTTGCACTGATTTATAGAGTAAACATAATAACTTTTATATTGTTAGTAATAATTAAAATTTAAGATGAACACTGGAATAAATCAACAAGGTTTAGTTGATTAAGGTTTACTTGATTATCCGCATACATCATTTTAGATAAATCATGTTAAAATGTGAGTATCAAATATGATACATAAGGCTTTAAATGTCTCAATGTATATCATTGCATTAGCCTATATGTTTTGCCTTTCACAAATCATTTAATAAACAGTTACTTTTTTGACCCCACTGACAGATAAGTTATGACTTAAGAAAGTATACATTTTTGTACCGGAAAATGAGACAAAAGAACTGAGGAATAAAATCAGTTTTTGCAGCGCAGAGCTTTGACAATATGACAAAAACAGGTTTTTTTTTTTTTACAAAAAAACACTAGGCTACATTTTTATAATCAAAACTACTGCGGAGTTTTATGGCATTTCACCAATCTAAGTGGGGAAGATTCGGCAGGTAGTCACCCCCTACAGATTTGTGCAAAATGAGAGATATTATATATCCACATTCTGCCTGCAGGGCCAAAGTTACCTGAGGACATCTGTATGTCTAATAAGAAAGATGGAGGGCTTTTCACTCATTTTAGCACCACAAAGTCCACCCCATCTGTTTTTCTTAAAGGAAAGGTCATAAAAACAGAAGTGTTTTTTTTTTTTTTTTTGTATGCGAGTGTTTACAGCAGGAATGAAAGCAGGTTCAGGGGGCATGGGGATCTAAATGAACATTCCAACACAACAAAAACCCTGTTCTCCTGGTTAATGATCCTGGCCAGATTGAACTAGATAAAGCTGGGCTTATCTGCCACTTCTAACACTATGAAAAATAGGGCTTTCCTCTCAGAGCCTTTCTTGGAAGCTGAGACTTTCTCAGACACCTGCTGCTGCCCTATGCTATCACTGCAAACATTTCACGCTGTCTGCATGGAGATGGATCAATGTACACTACTTAAGGAGACAGAATGCGAATTGGAAAATAAACATAGCGTAGGAGTACAACAGAGCAAGAAAAATGATGGTCAACGTATCCTGTTACCCACAGAATAACAAATTTTAGATTGTTGTGCAGATGACACTAAAAAAGCATATTATTCCACTCAGTGACATAAGACTTTTTGATTGAACTTGGTCTGTAATTTCAACTAAATTTCAACCATCCTTATGTAGGCATATACTGACATCTAGTGGCACATCAAATGAGAGCATTCAGAATAAAAAAATAAATAAAAATAATAATAATAAAAAAAAACAGTTGCAAACGAGTTTAGAGATTTTAATAGCCAGATGCTAGTGTCAACTTTTACTTGCTCGTAATAGGGTAACTTACTTCATGAATCGCTCTATAACAGACCATTACCCTTACAGTATTTTTATATAGTGAACACAACACGTCTCAGTGGATTAACTTAATTATGTGACTTGTAGCAGCTAACGTTATTTCGTTCAGTGGAACAAAATAAACATTGTTAAATAGCAACAACAACACACACGCACGCGCAAAAAACAAAACAAAAAAAACAAAACAATTACAAACATTTATCATTCACGAGTTCAGTTAAGACTGGAAAATATATTCTCCCACTTACCATGCCTGAATTAACTTATTAAAGAAAAGATAATGTTTGTTGATTGTTGTTTAACAGACGGTTGATTGTCTTGCTTTAGCCTCGAAGTCCCATCTCCATAGCAACAACATCAAACGCCTACAGCCAAATAAAATAGTTAAACATATCTCATGTGAACGCGTAAATACATTACATAGTGTTTAAACATTCGGCTGTCTTCGATATTTAAAGCCTGGTAATTATACATACGCTAGGAACGAATAGTTTGCTTGAACGACTGTCTACTGTAACCCGGAAGTACTGTAGTCCTTTTCTGACCTTTTACCGCCAACTGACACTCGCACATGGGTTTGTTATGATGTGGACTTTGACACTTGTTTCGCTATTGATAGGAGCTTTTTGACTGAATTGGTAAGCTAGTATTTCCAACAATTTAACACGATTTTAAAATTCAGCTTAAAATGTTGCAAACCTTTCACAATATAAGACAAAGGTCTTTTTTAATTTCAAAGTTTTTTTCTTTTCTTTTTTTTTTTAGGTGAGGTTTATAATTTCTACTAGATACATTCTACTAATGGATCCCAGTCCACTCATTTTAGATGGAGGTCTTGCAACAGAACTTGAAGCAAGTGGGTTCCAATTACAGGTATATACTAATACTATTACACAGACTTATTGTCACTAATCACAAGTTTACTCATTTTATTGTGTTTGCAGGGAGATCCACTGTGGAGTGCAAGGCTTCTGCATACAAATCCACAGGCCATAAAGGACGCACATTACAGGTAATTACAGGCTTCATTATGTTCTGTACTTGGGTAGTCATGGGAGTGCACGAAGTGTGAAACATTGTATAATTTAAAAAAATATATTGCTTATAATTACTGTATATTTATTATACATGCAGTGTTTTTGTCATTTAGTACTGGTCAAAATTTTGGAAACATTACTGTTTTAATTTTTTTGGAAGAAGCATCTTATGCTCATCAAGCCTGCATTTATTTGATCAAAATAAAGGAGAAAAAAACAGTAATATTGTGAAATATTATTACAATTTAAAATAATGTTTTTTTTAATATACTTTAAAATACAATTTATTTCTATGATGCAAAGCTGAATGTACTTCAGTCACATGATCTTTCAGAAATCATTCTAATATGTTGATTTATTAACAATATTGTAAACAGTTGTGCTGCGTTATAATTTTATATAGGTAACTTTTGATACTTTTTTGTGGATTCTTTGACGAATAAAACGTAAAAAAAGAACAGTATTTATTTAAAATAGAAATATTTTGTAACAATATACACTACAGTTCAAAGGTTTTGGGTCAGTATTTTTTTTCTTTCTTTTTTGATTATACTTTTATTCAGCAAGAATGTATCAAATTGATAAAAAGTGATAGCAAAGCTTTATATTATTAGAAAAATGTTCTATTTTGAATAAACGCTGTTCCTTTTTAACTTTTTATTCATCAATGAATACTGAAAAAAGTATCACATGTTCCAAAAAAATATTACGCAGCACAACTGTTTCCAACAATGATAATAACTGAGTATTAAATCAGCATATTAGAATGATTTCTGAAAGATCATGTGACACTGAAGACACATGATATTTCCCTCACATGAATACAAATAATATTTCACAATATTACAGTTTTTTTCTGTATTTTGATCAAATAAATGCAGGCTTGATGAGCATAAGAGATTTCTTTCAAAAACATTAGAAATAGTAATGACCGGTACTGTATTTTACTTTCTTAAAAATTTATTGTGTAATGTGTCAGCTGTAAGAATATTTAAGTAAACAACAACAAAATGTTAAAAAAAGTAAAAAAAATTTTTTTTAAATGTTAAAAAAAGTTATTTAAAATGTTTAAATGAACAATAATTGTAGAGTCAAATTAAATGTTGGGTTTTGGGGTCAATAATTATTAAATAAGCTATTCTTTTGAACTTTCAATTCATAAAATAAACCTTAAAATTACCAGTTCGCCTTTCCACAAAAATATTAAGCAGCTCAACTGTTTTTAACAATGATAATAATCAGCATATTAAAATGATTTCTGAAGGAAAATGTGACTGAAGACTGGAGTAATGATGCTGAAAATTCAGCTTTGCCATCACATGAATAAAATACATTTGAAAATATTTAATTAGAAAATTGTTAAAATTGCAATACTATTTCACAACTTTACCGTTTTATTTTTATTTAATAAATGCATGTATAAGATTCTAAAACATATTAAACCATAATTTATTAATCTTTCAGTCATTTGGTATTTCTGCATGCCTCCATTCTATGACAAGAATGATTTCATATTTGATGAATGGCTGATCTGACTTTTTAAATAGATTTCTTCAAAGCGGTTCTGATGTCATAACAACGGCCACGTATCAGGCCACCATTGAGGGATTCGTGAAATATCTTGGTCTCCGGCCTGAAGAAGCACAGCAGATGATGATGTCAGGGGTTCAACTGGCAAAAGAGACAGTGCGTGAATTCATGTCTCACTCACCCAAATCAGGTGTGTACAATTCTAACTGCTAAATCATTAATATGATCAAGTTTCTACAACATAAAATCTAAAATAAATACTGTAAATCCCCAAGAAAACAGAAGAGAGCCATTGGTTGCAGGCTCAGTGGGTCCATATGGGGCCTTTCTACATGATGGGTCAGAGTACACAGGGGCCTATGAAGACAAGATGACATTGGAGGTAATGAAAGATAAAGCTTTTTGTCTGCCCAAGCTGCTTCCTCACAAGAATATCAAGTGCATTTTTCCCTTTTGTCTTAGGAGTTGAAAGACTGGCATCGTCCACAGATCCAGTGCTTAGTAAAAGCTGGAGCTGATCTAGTTGCCATGGAGACCATTCCAGGTCTCAAAGAGGCGGAGGCTCTGGTGGAAGTACTCAAAGAATTTCCCGAAATTAAAGCCTGGCTTTCCTTTTCCTGTAAGGTGACTGATATTAATGGATATGCTTTCCTTGAATTACAAACACCGCACATATATTATGATATGTAATGATAAATTGCAATTACACACTTACAATCATTTATGTGAATAAATGATTGTAAGTGTTCTGAATATAAGAATATAATATTTTTCTTGGAAATACCTGTTTAATGCAATAATGTGTTTCAGGATATTCACAATATTTCAAGCGGGAGGAGCTTTTCTGAGGCAGTTCAGGTGGCCTGTAGGTCCACACAGCTGCTTGCTGTGGGGGTGAACTGTTGTCCTGCTTCTTTGGTGAAACCGCTTCTAGAGTCAGCCAAGTCTCACAAGAAAGCAGATTTGAGCTGGGTGGTCTATCCTAACAGTGGAGAGAAATGGGACCCCAAGACCGGGTGAGATTAATCAATATTTTTTCATTTAACTTTTCAGTTATTTAATTAAATTGACAGGGTTCCAACATTCATGAACGATTTAAGGGAGTAGTTCACTTTTAAAAAAAACCTTTGCTGAAAATTTACCATGTCATCCAAGATGTCCATGTCGTTCTTTCTTCAGTCGAAAAGAAATTAAGGTTTTTGATGAAAACATTCCAGGATTTTTCACCATATAATGCACTTTACTGGTAACAAAACGGTTCAAGGTCCAAAAGACAGTTTCAGTGCAAACTGTTCAAAGGGCTTTAAACGATTCCAGACAATGAATAAGGGTCTTATCAAGCGAAACGATCACTCATTAAAATAAAAAAATAACAAAGTTTAAGTTTTATAAGCTCAAATGCTCACCTTGCTCTGTTCTGTGACGCGTGTTCGTGACTCTCCTGTTTGAACTAGTTCTTCAAAATGAACAAATCTTTTTTCGATAAGACCCTTATTCATCGTCTGGAATCGTTTAAAGCCCTTTTCAACCGTTTGCAGTTTGCACTGAAACTGTCTTTTGGACCTTGAACCGTTTGGTCCCCAGTAAAGTGCATTATATGGAGAAAAATCCTGGAATGTTTTCATCAAAAACCTTTATTTCTTTTCGACTGAAGAAAGAAAGACATGGACATCTTGGATGACATGGGGGTGAGTAAATTATCAGCAAAAGTTTTTTTTAAAGTGAACTACTCCTTTAGCATTTGGAATGGAACATTTTATTAAAAATGAAATCTATAAATTATCTTTCCAGACATGAAAAAGACATGGACATTAATATTTCATTCCATTTCATCCCATATATTTCATATATTAAAAATCACTCTTTGTGAATGTAATATTCATGTAATTTGTTATAAGATTTTTTTTTATTCAGTAAGGATGCATTAACTGATCAAAAGTGACAGTAAAGTCTAATTAAAATAAATGCTGTTATTTTCTATTGCTCAAATATCAAATATATCATGGTTTTCACAAAATATTTTATTAAAAAATATATTGTATTAAAATATTAAAACAGAAAAGTTATTTTAATTGATCATATTTCACATTATTAATGTTTGTACTGTATTTTGATCAAATAAATGCAGCCTTGGTGAGCATAAGATACTTTTTTCAGAAATATTAAATATTCTTACCAACACCAAACTTTTAAACCGTGTAATTAAATAAAACGTTACATTGAAATTGACTGGTCAAAAAGGTATGGGAAGTGGAACCCTGAATTTATTTACTTAGATTGTATATGACATAATTTGTCTCAATATTTCATTGTGTAAGGCTGTTCCTAATCTATTTCAGATGGATAATGGAAAAACAGACATCATTTGCCAAATTAAGTCTCGACTGGAAAGAACAAGGGGCTTTGTGGATTGGTTGGCATCAAGTTGCACCAGTTAATACTAAGACTTGTTCTTTACTGTTGTGTTGACTCACCAAGATTTCTTTTAACAGGTGGCTGCTGCCGTGTTGGTCCTGCTGATATAACTGCACTGAAGCAACAACTACATGTATAGCAACGACTCATCATGAAACATGACACCGTTCACATCTAGTTACCTATGAAATAATGCACTAATGTGTAAGAAGGTGTATAAATATTTATTCATAAATAAAAATGATAACACTAGATGACTAGACATTGAACATCATACATTAGATGTTGTTGTGTTAAAGGAAAAACACAAATCACAATGCACAAAACATGGAAGCAATCATGCAATCTTAGCTCCCAGCGTTGCGCAAAGAACGTGACTGTAATCCTTCAAGTTAGTATTTACAATAGGATAGCGCCTTTTTAATGGACTGTCACATCACTATAGCCTGAATCTGATCCACTGACATATTATTAAACAGTCTGATTTATTCATGATAACTTAGTTTGTATTTTTAATTACTTACAGTAATAAAACAATTTTGTGTCTTTTATGTGATGCTCGGAGTATTCTGCGTACACTTTATTCAGAATGTTCATTTTTTTTAGTCCATACCGTCCTCCAGTTATCTACCATCAGTACCATATATATATATATATATATATATATATATTATCCACCAAATAGCATATAACTAAAATGGAATGAAATGGATATTGATCAGAAAATTAAATACTCACTAAATGCTCTTGGTACACTTAAGGTGTATGCAGTCACAAATTTTGGCAAAATTTTGCAAACAAAAAAGTTTAGCAATGTATGTCACTTTACTCTTGCTTTAATGCCGCTTTGAAATAATGTCGCTTTCTGTTGGTCATTGAATCCTCATGACCAAGTTAAACCCGTTTTATCGCTGTCCTCTGTCGCATCTTGACCTTTGTTCTGGAGCCAAATCTTGGCAAAGTTTCGCTAGCAAAAAAGGTCCATTGTCTACAGCTCACACAGAAGTCATTCCATGTGACCAACTCAAACCCATTGTGAAAACTGCATGGGGAAATCTTTAGCCCTCATGCAAAATTCCATATTGCATGGATTTTGCACGCAAAAATTACCTACACAATGGTAAATGTAGCCGCACAATTTATTTAACGATTCATTTATTCACAATGCGTTTAGCAAAGCAGCATCAGAAGTGACCAAATCTTAGAGAGCCTAGTATTTTTAATCCCACAATAGGGCAGTCGTGACTTGTAATTGGTAACCCGAAGGTTGTGGGTTTGATTCTCAATACCGCCAGGATACTTACTCAATACCTAACCCTCAATCGTTCCACGGGTGCCATAGCAAAAATGGCTTCCCACTGCTCCTGATGTGTTGTGCGTGTTATCTACTCACTACTAATAATGTGTGTGTGCACTAACTTGGATGGGTCAAATGCAAAGAACACATTTTAAGTATGGGTTACCATACTTGGCCTTCACTTTGATTCACATTGCTGTAGAAAGGTAGCATTACAAGAACCTCCCCAACGAGAGGTTATCGTTCCTTCTTTATGGGTATCAAACCAGCATTCTTATAGTTACCAGCCATTCCAGCTACTAAGCAACACCTTTTGGCTTGCAACTGCCTCTATATCATATCTAACCTATCACTGTTGCTAACAACCTGGAGAGATAAATATTCTTGTTTATAACTGTCAAAACCCAATTGGCTCTTTAGGAGGAGGTTTGGACTCTTCAGACTTAGTCAGTTATGTCTTCATCCAGGTCACTGTCTGGAGAGCCTCTGTGCCTGTAGTCTGCGGTGTTGGACAAACGCTTCCAGGCATTGTCGGTCTTGTTCCCCGTACTGAGGGACCTACCCAGACGTTTCACCGCTCGCTCCTCAGAAGAGTCCTCTGTCGCAGCTTGACCTTTGTGTTCTGAAGCCTGATGGTGGAGATCATGCCTCAGATTTTCTAGATTCAGTGCCCATGGTCCCAACTTTTGCCAGTTCACTCTCTGAAAGGCCATGATGCAATGCAGATTGCCTCCAACCTACAAAAATATTATTGAAATAAATATGTTAAACCATTCTAATGTCCAAATTATTGTACAAGTACCATCACCATACTCAACTAGCTTACCTTCTTGGTTTTGCGATACTGAATGCCTCTCTCTGTATGACGAATGTCCAAGTATTCTGGGTTCTGAGTATTCAGATCCGTAACAATATCTGCCCATCTGATTAAAAATGAGGTTAGAATGTGTGCGTCATATTTATAATTTGACCAAGTACTACAATTCCATAAAATGAACCATACTTTTTACAGTGGATTGCAGGGTGTTTCCTGCTTGGTTCGCCAATGAGAATCCAGTGTTCCATCTCATTAAGCGGCAGTGACCCCCTGTAAAAAAAATAAAGAAATTAGCTTTCTTTCTTAATTAGAAGAAAAAGATATTGTAACACTTTCATGACACTTCATATTGGAATACCAATGCTCAATAATAAGGATGGCCCAGGGTCAGTGAGAATTTTTTTTTAACTTTTGGTGGATTGTCACTTATAGTGCGTTCATGTGCTATAGTAATTATGGTAAATACCAAAAGCCGACGTGGAAAATGCACATGAACACCCCCTTATGTGGTATTTTCCACTGGGCAACTCGTAGAATATTTTGATGGACGAGTTGCCGAGAAGAGATAACCTTTGACCATTTCAAAATGGCGGAGAGCACCGCGAGAGTCGTGAATCATGGTCAAAAAATATATACTATTCATGATCTAGAAAATATACAGCATATTATTTACCTTTTGAGTTTTGATAAATCATTTTCTTGCTGTTGCAGATGACTTAAACAATCTAAAATAGTTTTAGCTAAATAACTGGTCTGGATCTCCATCTTTTTACCACATTACGACAACAAAAGCACTTGAACACAACACACTGGTAAATACCAGTTCACAAGTGGAAAATATCCTATTTTCCATAGCACATAATGGTGGCCTTCATGTGCTTTCGGAATTATCGTAAATACGAGTTTCCTAGTTAAAAGTTGGACATGAACGCCCTCAAGTCGTATTTACCAGCGGGAAGCTCGGGGATCATTTTGATACCAGAGTTGGGCATGCCATAAACTTTAAACATGGCGAAGGAAAGAACGATTATTGCTGTGACTGTTATTCTTTACTATTTTGTTTTTCATAACAGCTACATCACCATGTCTTATCATTAAAGTAGTGCATATTTACAAAAATTAATAACAATTTAAAGCGTGTATGTTATAAATCTTAGTATAAATCTTATATTCGTTGATCTTGTACGCTACCGTTCAAAAGTTTGGGCTCGGTAAGACTTTTTAATGTTTTTGAGAGAAGTCTCTTATGCTGACCAAGCGTGCATTTATTGAATCAAAATACGGTTTAAAAAAGTAATATTGTAAAATATTACAAAACTGTAATAGAAAATTTAAAACAACTTTATTTCTGTGATGGTAAAGCTACATTTTCAGCATCTATTACTTCAGTTAACAGTCATGTGATCCTTTCACAGATCATTCTAAAATTCTGATTTGGTGCACACGAAACATTTATTATAATTATCAATGTTAAAAACAGTTGTGCTAAATTTATTATTTAGTATAATTATTTAACATAGTATGCAATATTTTATATTTTTGTGGAAACTTTTGATTTGTTTTTGAGATATTCAAAATAGAAAGTTTATTATAACTTTCTTAAAAACATTTTAACACTAATTTCTTAACCCCAAAATTACAGAACACAAACATTTGAACGAGAATGTACATTATGTTTGTTTGGATTAAAAACCTAAATATTTGGCATTCAAAGAATGAAAACGGTATATATAAAATATTGATGTAAATATGAAAACATATTTACATATTTTCTGACACACATAAAAGTTTAATACTATATATATATATATTCATTTATATATTTGGAGTGGCAAGTAAAAGCCTGAAAAAAGGGGGCAAAATGCATTATTTAAAATTTTCTAACAACCATAACGACCAGAATGTAACAAATTTGAGAATAAAATGAAAACCAAAGTTGCTGTGTGTCGTACCTGTATGCTTTGGCTGCTTTTAGTGGTGTAGCTTCATAGCCCACAGGGCAGAAATAGTGATTTTGACAGTGGTAAATGTAGGCCATGGATTCATCTTTGAGTCCCTGCGTCAGCTTCAGCAGTGCCCCCTCAGCTAGAAATGAACAAACATGCTCTATAATATGCTACTCAAATATTTTTAAGACAGAATAATATTGTTTTATAATAAACTGTCTATATCTAAACCTAAACATAAGATTAAAGGTGCAATGCGTAAAAAAAGATTTGAGTATCTATTAACACAAATCCATTATGACATCCATAACTACAGTATGTGTTCAGTGGTGTATAAAGAACTTAATAAACCGTAATTTTTTTTTATAGAATGAGACATTTATATCTACATAACTGTGGGCACCCCCTTCTATGAAGGTCGGCATATTGTGATGTCATGTTTCTACCGTAGCCGAACGTGAACAAACAGCGCTACAGAGTGCGTTTCGTCACTACATTGAAAGAAAAGCCGCAGAAACCTATAAGCTAGCTATAGACACCATGAGTAGAGACTTTTCCCTTGTCAGTGGTGTAAAATATGTAGTTGGATTGTTTCATGTAACTTAGTTCTTCCCCCTCACTGTGTTATGGCTTTGCTATGTGGGGATAAATGTGCTGGTTACGTTCATGAGACTGCTGATTACTTAGTACTCTTGTCATTGACCGTAAAACAGTATGTTACAGGAATCACCAAGTCGATCTTGGCAGCATTTTAAGTCGGTCGCGAAGAGTTTTCAAAATCAGAGAAAAAAAGCCTATTTGTGTGTAGTAAATGGTGTCAAGGGGATGCGGAGGCACGCGCTATTACAACAATCATGTCATTTTTGCCGTGTACACCTTTGGGCTCATGCGGACGTGTCGAATTTAAACAAGGCTTTACACTTTAACCAGCTCAGCCACAGTAACAGCTCATATTTAGCCAGCTTAACTTTTACTACCCTGTTAGAAAAAATATATAGTTGCATAGTTTCATGTGGTTCAGACAACGATATGTTTGTCTCGTTTTAGCCACCGTAGCTTCTTCGAAAGGGAGGGGTAAGCAGTGGGCTGAGCCCTTATGCTACGCTCACACCGGACGGGTCAAATTCGCATCTACCGCGTCTAGTTTGACGCTTGACCACTTTGTGTTAATTTGCACGTCAAGTGTGAATCTGACGCGTGTAAAAACAAAAGTTTGAAGCAAAATTTAAGTGCGTCAGAATCGAAACCCATTGGCGACCATCTTTTTTATGTTGATCGAGCATTCATCGAGAGAGTTACCACTTTGTATTTGCTCTGGAGAGCAAAACACCGGTGTGGGGATCATCGTCGCTGTATTTGTGTCCACCAGACCCTTCAGAGGCAAACCGTTTGGCGAGTTTCACCATTTGCTCGCTCCAGGACCTGAGCTGGATGATGGCCGCTGTCAACGGTATTTCCGCCAGTCCCACACCCAGTTTGATGACCTGTTGTTGTCCCGCATCGGAGCAAGGATCACCCTCGCCCTCATCCATCTAATCTGTCATGTTTTGATGATAAATAGAGCCAGCCTCCAAAAGTTATTAACCTGTCCTGTGATTTTTTTTTCTACGTCCAGACACGAACTTATGCACATGTATGTTGGTTGTCTTTACATCATAATAATATTTCATATAATCTCGATATGGAATACATAACGTTCAATACAAAATGAACTCGTATATTGGAATAAAGTTTTAAGTGCTAAAATATTTGCTTTGTTGTGCATTAGAACCACACCAGGCATTTAGTCATATTACAAAATAATTTTTTGAAGCATTCAGATCCTTCACCACGTGAGCAAGCAGCAAGCTACTGATTGGTTAACGCGGCGTGAATTGACGCCAAAATTCAGAATTTTCAACTCGGGTGGCAGACACGAATTCGCGTCAAACGCGTGAATGCACAAATAGCACTAACTAAATCATTTGCGTTCAACGCGCCAGATGCTCAATTTGCGCATTCACGTCTTCCGTGCCGCGCTCAACGCCTCATTCGCGCCGAAGGAATTTTTTACGCACATAATGCGTCTTTGCATTGACTTAACATTGAAATCATTCACGCCTGACACGCTATTCGCGTCCGGTGTGAACGTAGCATAAGTGCAAACCTGCAACCGAACCACTAGATGTCGCTAAAAATCACACACTGCACCTTTAAGGAAATATCACATATTACATTTGAACTAATGTTTACTGACTCTGTTTAACAAACTAGATCTCAAGAGAATTTGTAGAACAATAAGGCGTTGCAGCCTCTGTTTGTATGAAAAATGATTCAGAATTCACACACCTGTCTCTCCTGCTGTCTTGTGCTTCCCATGAGGTTTGTACAGAATATAAGAGCATCCCCGGACACGAAAATTATCGTTGATTTGTCTGAACCATCTGCACCCATATAAAAACAACAAATCAAAGTTTGGTGTCAGTACAATATATATTTTTAAGAAATTAATACTTTTATTCATCAATGATGCAATTAAATTGATCAAATGTGATAATGACTTTTACATTGTTACAACTTTCAATTTCAAATAATCGAAGAAACCTGAAAAAAATGTATCACCATTTTAAAAAAAAGCAGCACAAATGTTCCCTATTAATTAGAAGTTTATTAGAAGTTCCCTATATAACTTCATTCTATATAAAAATATCTGTGGGGTATTTTGAGCTAAAATTTCATATACACACCCTGGGGACATTGTTAGATTGTAAAAAGGGCATTATACCACCCCTTTAATATCCAGATTGCGGACTGATCCACAGCGCAATTTCACAAAAAAAAAAAAAAAAGTGTATGGATGCAGCCCTCTCCCCTCTGAGACAGAAGGGAGCACGCATCCTGAATTACCTCAACGACTTGCTCATTTTAACACAGTTGGAGCCTGAGTTAGACACTCACAAATCCTTGCTTCTCAGCCATTGGGAATGCCTGGGACTCAGGATCAACTTAGCCAAGAGCTCACTGTCTTACAGCCAGCGAATCGCTTTCCTGGGAGCAGTTCGAGACGCGGCCCAAATGCATCAAACGAATCAGGGAGGAGGACAGACGCACATTCCATCTGGTGGCCCCCCTCTGACGGACCCAGCCTTGGTTCCCTGAGTTGATGTATCTGCTAGCAGCAGCCCCATGGCAAATTTCCCTAAGGAAGGACCTCCTTTCCCAAGCAAAAGGAATGATTTGACACTCCCAACCCGAGTTGTGTACCCTCCATGTATGGCCCCTCACTGGGAACTTACAGACCTCCTAGAGCAGCGGCCGGGAACCTATCTGGCTCTTTGGAAAAAATCATGTGGCTCGCAAGGTCTCTCACCCTTTACCAACAAACGAGCGATAAAAAAAAAAAAAAAGACAAATCAATAGAGATCGGCTCTCTGCAGAAAAATCGGCGTATTGTGTAGCTGGCCATGTTATTATGCTACATGACCAGGCGTTCATCACTTTAGTCGAGTTCTCAATCCTATGGCGAGACGAGATCCATTTTATAGACATTCTAGCGGGTTGCGCACATTGGTTTGCACAGATTACACTGCTCAGCCAATAGGCTCGTGCTTTGGCTTGTGCAATTACACTGCGTTATTCAATAAGGCTTCAACATTCAGAGAATATTCTGTTTTCCCCCCATAGCGTCTATACTCGTTCCTGCTATCTCAGGGAACCGAGGTTACGTTAGTAACAGAGTATGTTTTCAACACTGATGATGGTATAATAATAATAATAGGAAGAAGAAGAATGTTTCAAGCACCAAATTAACATATAAAAATGATATCTGAAGTATCATGTGACACTTTTGACTAAAGTAATGATGCTAAAAATGAAGCTTTGCCATTTTGTAATTTTAAATTGCATTATTATAATAATATTTCTCAATATTGCTGTTATAACTCCATTTAAATAAAATAAATGCAACTTGAGCACAAGATACTTTTTTACAGACCCTAAACTTTTAATGGTGCATTAATTGTATAATGGTGTATAATTGAATGTATGTTAACACATTTTGAGAAACTGTTAAAATGCAAAACCTACAGTAAACTCACCGCATCAGAGTGGCATTGCCAGTGAACGGTCCAAACTTGATATCTTCAAACGGAGGCTGGAAACCAAGTATATTCAGGGCTTCTTCTTGGGAAATAGGTGGGAGACTGAACAAATCAATCCTAAAGGTTACTCTTTGGAATATTTCTACCAGACCAGATTAGAAATCTTAAAATAGATCAAGTAAATATGCTGTTTTTTCTCTTAAAAATACATTTTCCTTGGTATATTTTTGAACTGTGTGCCAAGTCTCATGCATTAAAGGCTTAGTTCGCCCAAGAATGAAAATTATGTCATTAATGACTCACCCTCATGTCATTCCAAGCCCGTAAGGCCTCCGTTAATCTTCGGAACACAGTTTAAGATACCAAATAGACTATGGTGACTATATAAGTATGGTGTTCCTAATAATCCTTTAGGTGAGTGTATATCGTATCTTAAATATCTTAAATATCATTAAAATATCTTGTTCCGAAGATGAACAGAGGTCCTTTTCATTTTCGGGTGAACTAATGCTTTAAATCAGCAGAGGGCGATTCAAAAATTATATCATTTGCAGTATGAAATTAGCTAGCTGTTGATAGATTTCAGCAAGGAACATACCTGCCTGCTCCTAGAGTACTGTAGAGAAAGTTCCAACAAGAGACAAGTGAAGAGATTCCACACGATGTTTTATACTGGGGTCGGCTGATGCAGTACCTTAAACATGAGAGATGAGTGGTTAACCGTGCACTTTTTGAGCCTCATTTGTCATTCATTAGTGTATTACCATCTACGGAGGTCCAAGACTTTTCTCTGTTTGATCTCCTCCAGAGAGGCTTGTGGTGGGAGATCTTGCAGGTTTCTGCTGAGCCTGTCAGACGATTTCATTTTCTTTGAGTTGAATTTCTTTAAATTACCTGAGGAAAAACACACTTACTCCTTTAAAATCATTCTAGGTAATATATTATTTATTATACTCATTCTGGTTCAAATTTACACTCACTTAAGTAGAAGAATTTGTTTCACTGGAATATATACAGTAAAAGACCATTAAAATGCATTGAATAATGGCTTAGCTGGAGTTTGGATAAAGTTAACTCAATCTTAAGCTTCATTAAACATATGCATGATTATCATTCTGAATCTGCCCTGTGTACTTTGTCTCAGCAAAGATTCCTCAGATCAGTAATTCCATACGCCTTATTCACGGCAGTGCCATCTTTGATTTTTAATGAGAATGAAAGCGAGGCTGTGAGGGATAGACTTGCATCTCTTCAATGGGCTGTACTGTTATTTATTGTGTTTTCGGATTGTTCTGCTCATGAAACACTGGAAAAATATCTTTCAAAGAAATGTCAGTTGACAAAAAACTCCCGACAATGTAAGCTGTGGAAAATTGTAAGTAATCTAGTCGCTTTATTCAGCTTTTTACAGTGGATGCCATTGGAAACACGGTAAGTCTATCCCTCACAGCCTCACTTTCATACCTGTCATGGCGCTGCTCTGAATAAGGTCTATAGTCTTACCATTTCTAGACTGTTTAATCAGGCACTGAGTGATGGTACACATCTAATGCACTCTATCTATAAATACATAATCCGCGAATATTTACAAATTAGTTAAGTGAAATCCATGTGACAGAGTCAATTGTGTCAGTGAAGTCATCACTGATGTTACATAAATCACAGCAGATGGTCAATGAGCTAATTTTCCTGGCATATTTTGCTCAACAGCTTGTGGAATACAATTTTGTTTTACTTTTCACATAAATAAAAGTATTATTATATAAGTGTCTAAAATATTAAATGTTATATCATTAAAACAACTAAATCTAATGTTTCCAAAATTATTGGCAACAATAATTTGGAAACTTTGAAAACCCCTGGTCAACAGTATGTAGATGTCTGTGTCTGTGATCATTTTTTAGAGAGACTCATACTTGTTCTGGTTTTCCGGGTTAAAACCACATCAAAATCAGAGGTGTCGATCTCCCAGGCCAGCACAGGCTTGTTGCTGGATGACACAACCTCCATATCACAGTTCCCATCTAAAGACACACTTATTCCCCCCGAGTGACACTGGGAGGGGGTTGCAGTGTTAGTCTTGACTAATGATATCCCAGTGTCTGGATTGGTTGGTGGTGCATCTTCAGATGTGATGATGGGTCGGGCTCGATTGAGCAGAGCATAGTCCGAGCAGACGGTGTAGAACTTCTCTCGGGAGTGTGTTACAGGACAGGTCCAAGGGAGCTGCAGCTCTGCGCTGGAGGCCCGTCGCACCCGCAGCGCATCACTCGTCAACGGGTTTAGGAAGCTGCGTGCACGCTCATCCTCTCTGCACGGGGCCCGTGATGGGGCCTCTTGATCAGTTCTAGCAGATCCGTTGGCACCTTCACTTTCCACAGTGTTAGGCATTGAATGGAGAACTAGGATGACGGTTAGGAGAATACAAGTGTACTTCAGCTGTGATGGCTTGGTCCCAGAAGAGAGCTCAAAGAAAGAATCTCACCCACTGACTACAATTAAGAATAAGACAGAAAGTGCAATAATAAGTATAATAATGATATATATCCATCTATATATCTATATATATATATATTAGTGCTGTCAAATTGATTAATATCCGCACACTCGCCTGTGTCTTACCTTAATGCCTTTCCTGTGATAATGCCCCTTACTTTTATCATACTTCTATTCATATTGTATGGCCACTTATTCTTAATAAAATCAGATCCAAAAGCACACACATCCACAGCAAAACAAAACACTATGTTGCTCAAGTTGGGTGCTCAAAAAAAAAAAAAAAAAAAAAAAAGTCGGCACAACTTGGCTCCAAAATTTTGAAAAATTGAATGGACTGACACACAGGTGTAATGTTTCGAGCAGGTAGAATCTTCGTCAGACAGTTAAAAGTTAAACACACCCCACATTTATACTAGTGTGAAATTAAACACTGTTGTTTTCATAAAAGAAACATTTGCACAAATCAAGCTGATGCACTTTTCCATGTTGATAAGAGCATTAAAATGAGAAAAAAATAATGGGACAAAAAGAAATCAAGAGACATTTAGAATAAAAATGTACGATTAATCGCAAGTTAACTATGACATTAATGCGATTAATCGCAATGAAATATTTTACTCGTTTGACAGCAATAGATAGATAGATAGATAGATAGATAGATAGATAGATAGATAGATAGATAGATAGATAGATAGATAGATAGATAGATAGATAGATAGATAGATATGTAAACAAAAACTTGGTGGCTTTTTTTTGTTGTAAAATAAGGTGTGGTGTGAGTGACACTGTTGTCTTAATCACCATGATTATAGCCCCTACACTAAGCCAGAGATTGCTATTAATTTCAATTATGAAACTGACAACAGCTTTAAACGAAGTTTAATCTTCTAATGGTAACGTTACAGCATGGTTGACCTACATCATTATCATCGTCAACAACACTACCATCGTTTTAGGTCATAATTTATCGATAATGGTCCATAGGCATCATTTCAGGGTTGTAAGATAAATCGCTGCAATGCAAGTTTAACCCACCATATAAATAATATAGATATCTGAATAATAGCTAAACACCATCAATGTAGCATCAATGGGCTCTTCGAAAGATTTTAACCCTTACATAAATGTGGGTTCATAGCGCAAATATTTATCCCTATTTACTTAATTTTGGTTAAAATAATAATGATAAACACCCACCTTGCCAATTCTGCAGGAATAATTTATGTATTCCGCTCTGCGCGAGTTCTCTGTTTGACTGCCTGACTAGCAAGCTGTGTTTTAACGGGCTCTACCAATCAAAGACAGGGGTGTTTTACGACCTAGAGATAGTACATATTTCGTTTATCGGATTTAAACGGTCTACACAACGGTGCACCGTTTTATTGGATATATTTTAAGAATGTTCGTATAAAACATGCAATGTTATGGCAGATAGTTTTGTAAATGAAGATAGTCGTAAAGATAACCCCACCTCCGTTGTTCTTTCAGGGAAAGTAGAGCGTGCGAGTGCGTGGTTGTCTTGAAAGTGGACCGAACAGGCGGTCAGTGAGGAGAGAAGGGGGTGCAAAGACCGGGGTAAGTGAGCAATAAAAATCAAACAAAGTGAGTTCATGAAGAGAGGCTAAAAACTAAACCATGGCTCCATGTGAAAAAACTTATTAAAAATATTTTCCCTGTTAAACACATTATGCTTTTAGAATACGTATTTTAAGATTTAACCTGCAGAAAGTTCCCTGATCAAAACTTAATTGTTGATGCATCATGACCATAGACTGTAAAAAAAATACACCATCATGACACCTCAAAGCCTTTTTTTTACTATATATTTTTTTTTACAAAAATTTTACTATTATTATTAATATAATAATATTCTAATATTATATATATATATATATATATATAAAGAGTTCAGATGCAAAAGCCTCTAAATGCCATTTGAAATGTTCTTCTTTAATTATGAATTTTATCAAACTTGTATATTTAAGTTCAGTAATTTCACTTAAGTTTCACAGTAGGCCTAATTACTTAATTTTATATATATATATACACAAATTATCCTCTCACCCCCCAAATGTGTTATAATGTGAACAAAAAAAGTAGACTATACAGTTACTTCAACAATTAATCAACAGTTCAGTTGAACACAAACAATGTCAAATAGTGACCAAAATGTCCGCAATTAATGTCTGCAGATGTAGAGGTTGCTGCAGCAATTGTTTCTCTAACTGCTGTAAAAGGAGGACTTGTAAGGATTTGAAAAGTCATGGCGGTGTTTCTCCATAGAAACACTGCTTCTATATATATATATATATATATATATATATATATGAAGAGTTCAGATGCAAAAGCCTCTAAGTGCCATTTGAAATTTTCTTCTAGAATGATCATTTTTATCAAGCTTGTATATTTAAGTTCAGTGATTTCACTTAAATGGCAATGATAATTACCTATTAATCGTTATTTAAGTGAAATTACTGAACTTAAATTACTGATACAAGTTTGACAAAAATCATCATTAAAGAAGAAAATTTCAAATGGCATTTAGAGGCTTTTGCATCTTGAAATATTATATAGCGCTATTTCACAATGATTTACAGGAAGCTTATGACGATGCATTACCTTAAAAACAAATGGTGCAATACCAAGTACTGAGTTGGTTACAAATTAACTAGTCTCCATAGATAACATCCCAACCCTGTTGTGTGATCAAGTGTCCTCACTTGTCTGATGTTTCTACAATCTAACCAGCATGGCTTGCAAGCTTCTAATAATCGACACAGACTGTGGCATAGATGATGCTCTGGCTATCATAGTTGCTCTCGCAGCTCCCGTTGTGAAGGTGTTGGGCATCACCTGCTGCTTTGGGAACACTGATGTGGATAATGTATGTCAGAATGTGGTACGAGTACTGTCAGTCTGTCAACAAACCCAGGTATGTGCATTTAAAACAGTACCAACACAAATGTCAACTAAGATGAGAAAATTGCATTCTATTGTATTGTTTTCCCTCAGATTCCAGTTTTCAAAGGGTCTGCTGGTCCTCTAGTTAGATCTGACACAGCATGGAAAGATCATTTTGGCACAGATGGACTTGGAGATGTTCTACAGAACTCTGAGAGTTGGAAGAGGCAGATACAGAAAGAGCATGCTGTTCATGCCATGATACGACTGGTGAACGAAAACCAGGGAGAGGTAAGAAATAAACTAATAACCCCATTTAGTTATAGAATATTGATGTAAAAGTTTCAATAGGAACATTAAATAAACATTCAAGCACAATATGTAACATTTTCTATCAACTTTCATATTATTTTGTTATTATAGTTAATAAAACTTACATTTGAACACAAAGCACACATTTTGAGTCTCTATGGACCCACTTTGAAGTATTTTTTTAAGTTTTGTTGGCCATGCAGTTTAAGAGATTTTTTTTTTAGAGATCCTAAAGAACAGTATATGTCTTACAAAAAATAAATATTTAAAATAAGCTCAAATGTAAGATAATATATATTTTTTATAATTTGTTCCCTTAACTGCTATTTTTATTTAAAAAACAGGGTTGTAAAATAATCTGATAGAAAAACAAATAAATAAAAACCCTGTAAACACCATCAACTAGAAAAGTCACCTATACACTGTTAATACAAATTATAAGCCCTGTAGTTATTGAAACTTTTAGTTATTTTTTAGTATATTAACACTCCTGGTTTCCATAAAAAAATAAGTTGAAAAAGAGCAACATTGTCATTAAAGATATATCAAGAAATAACTTGAAGTGCAATCATATATTGTTTTTAACAATGGGGGGTTAAGGTCAAAAAGGTTAAGAACCACTGGGTAAGAATGTTTTAAATGCAGTTAGTGTTCTGACAGTTCTGAATGTTGTGATGCCATCTTGTGGTTGACCATGGAATGTGCTTCCCTCTTTGTTTACATACACAGGTGTCTCTCATTGCTCTTGGTCCACTCACTAACTTGGCTTTGGCTGTTAATTTAGACCCCACTTTCCCTCAGAAACTCAAGGATCTGTATATTATGGGCGGTAATATGGAAGGTAAGAAAATAAACTACTGTACAGGTACCTCCAAATTGTACTTTTGATATCAGTGATTATGTATAACATAAAAACCAAGCCAGTGCTGAGAACAGCACAGGTAAAGACACGTTGCCCTAATCGGGTCTCTTTCTGCTAAGCTCCATCTCCCCACACTATCCACTGTTAAATCTTCCAGGTAGGGGAAATCTGACACCAACGGCAGAGTTTAATTTTAGAATGGACGCTGAATCAGCTTACATAGTTTTGGAGGAATATACCTGCTCAACACACATTGCAACCTGGGAGTTCACTTGCAGAAACAAACTATCTTGGGTAAGAGCTTCCCAACATGAGCAAAATCCATTCTTGCGTGAACATTATAGGCCTGACAAACTTCATATTTTTCCAGGAGTGTTTTGATGAGCTGGTCAATCAGGATACATCAGCTGCTCGATTCATGAAGAAGATAACCTCCAAGTGCTCGGCCTTCTCTAGAGAATTTTCCATCAACAAAAACAAAGATGTGCTCTTTGGGCAAGGGTTTGTACCTTACGATGCCTTTGCTGTGGCAGCTTGTGTGGACAGCAGCGTGATTACAGAGAGTGTACAGTGTGCCGTTCGCGTGGAGGTAGAAGGTGTATTGGGACGAGGCATGATGGCTGTGGACCAAGCCAATACTCTGAAGAAAGGCCATCTTGCATTTGTGATGAAGACATGTGACCTTAAAAAGTTCAGCTTGATGCTCAAGGCTTCTTTACAATTAGCATAGAAAATAAGCTTCTTTGCAATGCATTTGTATTAGAGAGAATCCTCTGCAAGTGTCCCTGTTCTGTTAAAGATTTAACAGAAAAAACAAAACTTTGACACTTCAAAAAGTTCATAAAGACATTGTGAAGTAATCCATATGAATCATGCCTTGATCACTGATTAAATGCGAAATAAGTCTCTCTTCAGAAGACTTGAAATAAAGTGTTAATATGGATTGTCTTTATAAGCTTTTTGAAGGATCAATGGACTTTCAATGGAGGGACAGGAATCTCTCAGGTTTTATTAAAACATTTATGTTTAGAAGCCTAAGTTTGAAATAACATAAGGCAAGATGACAATTCGTCCCCTTGGAATTATAAGGTTCTATCTGACATTTTTGTCAAAATTGAGTTATTCACATATTCTTATTCTGTGACAATTTATTTACATTATGTGATGTGTTTTGTACATTTAGGATCCCTGTTATTTTTATGTTTGAAAGAAACTTGTTCCCCATACACATTTTCCTATATGGAATGCAAAAACTTTGAAGCTCAATATCTCAAAACTGTTCAGAACGCAGATAGAACCTTATAATTCCAAGGGGACGAATTATTGCCCCTTTAAGCAAATTAAAATTTAGCCAGAAATAAAATGTGGAGTCAATATTCCAGCCTGATATGTTTATTTCAACCAATGAGACCAAACGCTCACTTTTGAAGTAACAAATGAATGATGAACAGAACACATTTCAAGTTCTTTAAGCTCCCTCAAATTAAAAGCCAATTTCAGCAAATAAAGCTTTTAGCTTCAAGCTGAGGCCAATTAAAATAAAATAAAATCTCAACTTCTGAATGCTTTTACGATTTGGCTTGGACTTAGAGGGGTTCAAATCAGTGTGGTAATCGTAGTATTAACCACTTTTATCTTCCCAAATGTTAACTCAACCAAGAAATGTGGCCAGAAAATGCTCAAGAATGAAATCATCAAACCAATATAACAGCATTTTGTTGGAGTGGGGTTTTACACAAAGTGCTTATTTTAAGGTTCAGTAATACTGCATCTTGCATTTTAACACAATAATACTGGATCATATACTTTAATTCCAAACAATGCAGTATTACTTAAAACAGGGGATCTCTAAAATGGTAAAGAAAAATACCCCTACAAGGGCAATAGCATTAAACCAATGTAGTCAATTTTTCGTATACTTTGTCTTTTAAAATTGAACTTAAGGCATTTTTATACCCCACTAAAATAAATAGGTCTGAATTTTGAGGTGAATTGGAATTGCAACACTGCGCTTCCAATGGATATCTGTACCATATTACAATTCAAGATTTTTTCCAATTATTAAAATGATCTTGGTGTACATCATACGATTCATCCAGGAAAAATAAAACAAGATTAGAAACCACTGCATTTTCTGTTGCTCAGCGAGGCTGTTCTGCCTCAGACGCCATTGTTGTCGGGGCTGTTGGGCCAGGGCTCTGAGTTCCAACGATTGAGTGAGGGAGACCACCCCATGTTCCAGGGGTTGTAGGTGCGACCCACGTCGTTTGGGGCAGGTGTGGGCGGTGCGGTGTGGCTGACCAGGTCAGGGAGAGCGGAGGAAGTAGGAGGGTTGAAGGAGTGCAGGGTGGAGTCATTGCCAGTGGACCAGATGGACCTGCTGAAGGACCAGGGACTGCGTGCACTGCCCAAAATGGACTAAACACAAGCAGAAAGAGAAAGACTATCATCTCATAACCTGCAAAACTACATTTATATATAGTCATGGGAAATCTGAAGCATTAAAGGGCACCTATTATGCAAAATTCACTTTTACATGGTGTTTGAACATAAATGTGTGTTGGCAGTGTGTGAGCAAAACCACCCTAGAATGATAAAAATCCACCCAGTGTTTTTTTTTTACAATCTCAGTAAATCATATGCACTGTCTCAGAAAGAGCTGTTCTAAGATTCAGCGATTTGTGATGTAGAATTGAGCAAGGGGTTTGATTGACAATGTGGTTGTGGCATAGACCCCGCCATCAGTGATCTGTACACCATCCTCCATTGTTTCAACGACAGCCGGTAATGTCTCTTGGAAACATAAGTGTTCTGTTGTGGAATGGGATGTAATAATGACATGCATAGTAGTTTTCACTTACTTCATATAGAGCCACTGAAAACACAGTGGATGTATTGTATTTTGGAAGTTTAAGTGGCGCCTTTCCTTCGTAAATAAGTTTGTTTGAGCGAATCATTTTCTGACTGACTGATTTGTGAACGAGGGTCAATTGAAAGCAGGTCTTGCTTCAAAGTTAATCCTCAAGTGTGGATCGTCGTCTACTGTTTGCGATCCAATGTCACCTCCAGTAAGTGTATTTTATGATTTATGAGCAAATTAGTCATTTCAGTCGACGTCAGCCAATTCAACAACAAATGCGTCTAAAGTTGTTGTCGTCATATGATGTCTGTACATGTAATTTTGCTTGTACGTAGCAAACTTTATCACAATATGTGTATGTAGTTTCAAAAAATTGTGCCAACGTTAGTGTTTGTGTGTATCTGTGTGTGTGTGTGTTGCACATCCATTATTTCAAAGGGGACACAATTACAACTCTATAAGTACATAAATGTATCAAATAACCCTACCGAGATGTCCTGGTACATTCTCATTTGTGTTTTTTCTGCCGGAGTCTCTTCGTCATCTGGGTCTGATCAGAGACTATTTATATATTCCGATTCAAACATGTACGACTGAATGACAGCGGGTCTCTCACTCTCTCAGCCCTTCTGCTTCTATATTACCGACTGCCATAGGTATTAAGTTACGCCCTCATCCAAAGGCAGGGCGGGGATATGAAGCTCATTTGCATTTAAGGTCGTGTAGACCAAAACAGCTCATTTTTTAACAGGCCCCAAAAACGACATTTTCAAATGGTTATAATAAATTAACTGTGGGGTATTTTATGCTGAAACTTCATAAATAAATTCTGGGGACACCCTAGACCAATATTACATCTTGTAAAAAGGGGCATAATAGGTGCCCTTTAAGCATAGCTTATTATTGCTATATACACACACACACACTACTACTCAAGTTTTGAGATGGTAAGATTTTTTTTAAGTCTCTTATGCTCCCAAAGGCTGCATTTATTTGATAAAAAAGTAAAATTGTGAAAAATAGTATACCTATTTATGCAATTTCCTCCTTTTAATGGCAGCTAAATTTTCAGCAGGCATTACTTCAGTATTCAGTGTCAAATGATCTTTCAGAAATAATTATAATGCATCACTGCAGAGTAACAAGGAAGAGATATCTTACAGTTGTTGGAGTTGATGGGGATCCAGTGCTGGTAGCCCAGGTGTTAACAGGCTCAGTATCCCAGATGGACGGTGACACTGGAGTGTATTCAGGCCAACTCTGCTGGGGCTCTGAACTCTTGGGAACGGTCATGCCTCTGAAAACTGATAGAGAGAATAACCATAATATTAAATACATTGGCATTCCAAACTGGATTTTACAGGGATGTGATTTTTTCCATATTTATATGGATTTCCATATTTTCTGCCCTGAAAAGAACCACCTAAGTTGCTAATATCCAAGAAAAAAATGGTTTTGGGGAAGGGTGGTGGCTACTGTATGATAATTAAAATTGTGAAATGGACTTAAACAATTACTATAAGTTACCACAAAATGTTATGTTCTCTAATACTTTATCTTTGCAACCGACAGTGTTTTATTATAAGTATATAAGTTCACTTACGAGAGGTTCTCTCGTATTGTGCAAGTTAGCTTATATTGATATTGAATATTGATAGATTAATTTGTGTATCCATTGTCAACGCAGTGTAGCAGCTAGTAGACGAAGAGCAGTCTGTCTAGCATGCTCATTAGCTGCCCTGCGGCAACTGCAGCAGCCTACCAATGAGCCCAACGTGACATCGCGCACTCATCGCATCACAGCCGCCAGGATGGGCGTGGCTTAGCGGATCTAGAGAGAAGCCGCCGCTGCCGTCGATGAGCTTAGGACAGTGCCTGAAGAAGCCGGCCGTCTTTGCCACCTTCAGCCATCAGTGCGAGCTACGCTATCCATTGATGTATCCTTTTCTTTGCAAACTCACTCCTAAAAGAGCAGCCAGAGTCTTTTTCAAGATGCCTCGCACTTCCTGTGGCCCCACTCAGCGACGGAGACCGCCATGTGATCTGCGCTCTCTGCCTGGGCCAGGAACACACAGCTCTCGTCCTCTCGTCAGGGGGTTGCGAGCTCTGCGAAGCACTTTTTGCCGGTTAGGCTTGAAGTGAACAACTCTCACACTCTGCCCTTTGCAGGACCGCGCAAAAAGAAGCACCATTCTACGTAAAAGGCCGCCAGAGCCCACAAGCCGCAATGTCGTTGTTTCTGATGATGAAGCTGAATGAAAAAGCCACAAGGGACTGCTTTTCTATCCTGGAATCGGGCAGCGAGGAGTTGTTAGTTCTCATCACTCCTCCTCCTCGATCCAGGAATCCGGCCGGACCCGTGCTGGAGTGGACACTAAGCTGATGCGCCTCCTGTCTCAGGCTGTTGAATGTCTCGGGTTCGAGTGGTCGTCGCCGAAGGAGCCCGCACCGAACAAACTCGACAGCTGCTTTCTTCAGAATCGCCGCCGTCAAGCGCCTGCAGCCAGGGCCGCCCCGTTTGAACTCCACGTGGAATGCACCATTGTCCACGAGTCTTCACTCCCACTTCTCTGCGTTGCTCTCCCAAATGCACGGTGCCGCAGAGAGGGGATACACTGTCATTCCCCCTGTGGAGGAGGCGGTCGCAGCGCACCATTGTCCACCCTCCGCGAGATGGCGCTCAAGGTCTGCCCTCCCGTCTAAAGCCTGCAGAGCCACATATGTATCAGCCCATCACGGCTGTCAGCGAGCCGCCGCTTTTAAGCACAGAGCGCCGCACCCACTCCTCCGGTTCAGTTTTTCGAGCCCATAAAGTGTGGTAATCAGAACCCGGAGACCAATCGCCCCCTAGCTGCACATATAAAAGCATGGGAAGCCATCCCAGGGGTTTCAGAATGGGTGCTGAGCACAATAGGCAAATGCAATAGCAAATGGGTGCCGAGCGGACCGCCACAACAGAGGTGCCAACAGAATGCGGAAGTAGCACATCTACTCCACGCGGAAATAAGGAAGCTGCTGTGCAAACGGCCATAGAATTATTTCCGTAGAATTGGTACCGCCTTCTCTGAGTGAGTCGGGCTTTT